CAGACTGTCTCATAGTTTTATTGTCTACCATATAACCTTGCTAAATACACACTTGTCAACTGAATCTTTAAATGTATAAGTAAAATTTTACCGCACTGTCAAAATGTAAACTCACAGGTAAAATTTTTGGTCATTAGGTGGAAGATCATGGAAACATCATTTAATTTCTAAATACCAACACAATGGATACTAGGGAATTAATTTTAAAGAAATATTTTAAAGACCCTTCACTTAAATTCTTAGTGGATTCCAATCTTAACCCTACTGCACATATTTCAGCAATTCAAATCTGCTTGCTTTGAACTCAAGGCTGATAATAATTAGTAAAAATATCTATAGGGTAATTTATTTTCTCCTCCAATAAGGACTTCCAATAAGGGTGGGAGAAAGGATTAAAAGAAAAAGAAAAAGAGAGAAAAAAGAAAAGGGAGTAGAATCTGATCATTTCTATTAACTGACATACATAGTAATTACTATGTAAAGTACCTGGCATATATATAACAGAGCTCTAGAAATGGAAAGTAACCTTCTTAAAAAGTAATGTTTAACCTCGTAATGCTTATTCAGTCCTGATGCATCAAAGAATGATTAACTATTGCATGAAAACATACTCTCAAGTGATATACCATATGGTATAAACTATAAGTGATTTTGGAAATAAGAGGAGGTGTGAGAAGAATACTGGGGAATCCTGAAACCAGGCTTCTTATTCTAGGACTATCTATCAAGTTACATCCTCTCTCAGCCTCAGTTTCTTCGCTCATACAATGAAGAAATCATAAACTTTATGATATTTTAAATTCCATTCTAAATCCATTCATTCTTTCCACTGATTAAATGGTAAAACCAGGGATAAAGAAGAACAAGATATAGAAGGCTTTGACTGAAATATAGTCAGTTCTGTTGTAACACGTGTTTTGAAAATGCAAATGTGTTCTAATGCCAACTGATATATTAGGGGACAATTTAAGCATAATTTAATTTTTGCACTTGCTTATCTGTTACAAGAAAAACTGGTGAATCCAGAAAACTGCACCCAGTTGAACCATTCAGCATAGGAATACACAAGGTATATAGAAGCACACACTCAAATATCTCCCAGCTTCTTCAGTTCACTCTCTGTTACCCATCCATATTTGGTATTATAACTTTTATAACTTTCTGTCATCTTTCAGATAACCCTTTCACTACTTCACAAGCTGCAACCCTTCCAACGCCACTTCCACAAGCAAACTTGAGATCTTTTTCAAGGTAAACTAAATGTATCTTCTAAATTCACACCTTGATTCTGGCAGAAATTCTTGGCATGTACCGCTATAAAAATGCCACCTGCTCAATAATGGGATATTTAACAGCTACTCAATAGTTACCAGAAAAGAACATGAAACAAAAAAAATATTACTTCTGCAATATAGTTATAACAATGCAGAAACCACAGACCCTTTACAAACACTCCTAATTCTTGATAAACTCAGAGATAAAGGAGGCTAAATGAAATAAAGGTCATGCATGGTTCCTAGTTTCCACGCAGACTAGAAATAGGAGAGAGACCCAAATAACTTAGCACTGCAGCCAAGGGTTGGCTAAAACCTGTCACTCAGAGCCAAAGGGCAGATAAAAATAATGCTGCTATTTAGCATGCTCAGGAAAAACAAAGAACATAATTATTTTGCCTTTTTGAATGAACCCAGACTTAAAACCAGTACTGACACCAGAAGTAACAAACATAAATATAGTACAGCATGTGCTCCTGTATGTCCAGCCAAATTATTTGGCCATTACAGTCTTGATCCTGGCACCATTTCTTAAAGAACTACAACAATACTTTAAAAACAAATCAAGATTTTTGTTTGCATACATATGTATGCAAGAAAAAAAAAGTGAAAGAAAAAACATCAAAATGGTAGCAATAGTTTCATATTTGGTTAATGAGATTATAGATGAGAATCTATTATATTAATTATATTATTATATATTATATATAATAATCTATTAATTAATGAGAATATATATCAATATTCTTATTGATAGCTTTCATTATTTTATACAATAAATGTATATTACTTTTATCATCAGAGGAAAACAAATATCTTTTTAAACAGTTAACTAAAAGAAATGAATCCCTCATCACAGAACATGTAGCGTTTATAGTAAGCCATCAAATGTCTCTTCTACTTTCCAAAGGGTCAAAGGTGAGCAGACTGGATTTGAAGGGCACTTCCCCAACATGCAGGAAAATCCAAAGAGAGCTCTGCAGAAAAACTCTCCACCATAGGAAAGTGGATGAACACAGTGATAGACACTAAACACTCGGCAGATATATCTGACTTGTTTGTCTCTGCTTTTACCAGCCAGCATTTTGGTGACTCCTGTAAGTATTCTGAAAAACTTTCACCTTTTGGGTATGACTAATATAGAGTCACTTAACCAAATTTAACAGTGTCTGGTAGCAGAGAATATGGAAATACGATCTAACCAGGGACAACCAGTGACCAAAGCCTAAGAAATGTACAAAAGACCACTACAGGGCCAGCCGAGTGGCGCGATGGTTGGGAGCTGGCTTGCGACGCCGGAGGGCCCCGGTTCGGATCCCACATATGAGGGCCGGTGACGCTGCCCTCCGCAGCTAGGATGCTGAACAACAGCTCAACCTGGAGCTGGGCTGCCATGGGTCGCCGGCGGCGGCGTAGGCTGCGGCCCCTGTGGCGGTGGGTTGCCATGGGCTGCCATGTGTGGCCAGCAGCCAGCGTGAGCGGCCAGCAGCCAGCGTGAGCGGCCAGCAGCTGCAGTGGAGGCCGTGGAGAGGCCGGCGACTGGTCTGCCTCACCTGGGAAGAGCGCAATGATGATGAAAACTTGGGCCAGTGAAGCAACGTCCTCCACAGCTAGACTGAGGAACAAAACGACAGCGGCTTGTCTGTTCCCCTTCCCCCAATTCCCCAGCACTGTTCCCTTCCCCCCAGTACCCCAATAAAAATCTTAAAAAAAAAAAGTAATAAAAACAAGCGATTATTTAAAAAAAATAAAAACAAGAAAAGACCACTATAGATTTTACAGTCAGCTTTCTCTCAAAATTACTATCCCAGCATTGATGAATATTCATTTCTCAAAAAAAAAAAAAGAATGTACAGGCTAACTACCAGATATACAGCATTATCCTAGATGCTGTGGTGAATACGAAAGAAATAATACAATCATTTTCTATATAACATTCACATTCTGATGGTGAAAGATATGATATACATATCAGAAATATTTAAATAACAAAAGACAACAAAATTAAATGGCTAAATGAGCTGTACGGATAAATATTGAAGGTACTTAAAGGACTGTTCACTGTGGACTTACATAGCTGGGAAAGGCTTCTGATACATAGTATCAGAAGGGAGCCAAGGATAGTCACCAAGATAAGCAGAGTCATTGAGATAAAAAAGGCAATGGTGAGTCTGGATGGACTGGAATAAAAATCAGGTTAGGGAACAAGAAAAGAAAGAAAGGGGAGACAGGTTATAAATCCTCTTAAGGGTTCCTTCACCTCTAATCTATCTGATAAACTATTATCCGACTAAGAACATTTGTGGAAAAATCTGTACCAAACACTATGCTAAATATGACAGAGAGACATAATATCCAATCTCATAATAATCTTCCAAAGTAGGTATGGGGTAGAAATGGTAGTCCAAAATGGTAATCCCATCTTCCAGATAGAAACTGAAATTAGTTAAACAGAGAAGCTAACTAATTTGCCAAAGGTCACCAAGATAAGCAACAGAACTGGGATTTGAACTCAGGCCTACTGACTCCAAAGTCCACGCTCATTTTTAATATCTTATGCTACCTCTTCCTAAAACATAACTCTAGCATCACTCTGAATTTATGCCCACTCTGACTACCTCGTGTCCGCATGGCGATCCTCTGTACATTAAAGCCTGCTCTCAGGACAGTATCTACAGCTAAAATGAAAATGACCAGTAATAGTATACCCTGCCCAAGGGTATTTCCACTGTTACAGGAACCAGAGGCTTAAGTTAGAAGTAAGCTCTAACATAAGCCACTTAGTGGAATACATAGCTTCCCTTCTCAGTGGGCCAGGCCAAGTTTGTATCTTATGATGTCCATTTTCATAGCTTATAGCTAAAGCTCACACAGTAAGAATCTCACTTGTAAGCCCTGAGGGTCTCCATGGAAGTCTAACCAACCACAATCCGTGAGACAAAAGGCCAGATGTGGCTGCAGGTTTGCTTCAGAAGAGAACTAAGAAGTTCTGGAATTTCACATTTTAAGTATATAACATAAGAAAACCTAAGTAAAATATATTTGACAATTAAATTATTAAATGTTTCTTTAACAGACAGGCTGCCCAAAAATGTGCTTTCTAATAATTCTATAAAATAATCTTTTACTGTCCCTGGGAACCAGGAGAACTATCTTCATTGTTCTCACCTTTTCCACAATAAAGGATTTTACTGGTATCAAATGGCAAAAGCATCATCTTTCAAAGGAACTGAAATAATATCCACATAGGATCTCAGTGTGAGTAAAGACAAGTGGGTAGAAGAGCATGGCCCTGACAGATATTGCTCCATGGACTAACTATGAAAATAGGATTCACTGACTGTCCATTTGCTAAAACCAGATACACTAGTAGTTAGGTCAAAGGTCTACTGACAACTTGAAAGTTCCCCACCATATATTTTCACGGGCCAAGGAATGATATGAGTTTCGAATGTGTTTCAAAATGATTCAAAATTTTCAACGTAAGAAAATTTCCAGCCCAGCTTAGAAAATATATTGAATAATATATTTTACATAGAAAATAAAGGAAGTAACTTGAAAATAAAAGTGATACTGTTCATTCTTTCTCAACAAAAGTTATGTCCCTCACCCTAAAGAAATTACTTTTTAAGAAATCCCCATTTCATCAATGTTCTAATATGTAAGCCAACAGATTTTAGGGGTAGAACTTTTTTCAAAGTAGTAAAAGGAGAACATTGCCCTTACGTATCTGGATGGCTCCTCTAGGTTCTGGTCATTCATGTCAGTAGGGACAATCCGGGTGGCCAGTGGTCCCTCCACAAAAGGTTTTGGTAACTGGCCCCTGAACTCTGAGGGAATGAACTGAAGCTGCCAACTGTTGGAAACACAAATAAGGAGAATAAGAAAAACACAGGAGGCTCATATTGCTAAATGTATTTGAAATAAACAAGCTGAAAAAAAAAATTCCAAAATGTGAAACCCATTTCATTTCAGTAAGAGAAAAAAACATTTCTGCTAAAACCTCATCCAGGGAGCATAGAGGCAGAGGTCACAATTCAGTCCAAACTCGCTAAGAAATTTTCAACTAGCGGTCTCTCAATCCATTTCACCAACTCTCAGCAATGAAGTTTGCAATGAGTTGGTCATACCATCCAAAATCAGAGACGCGTCAAAGTGTATTGCCAATTACCACATGATCAGAGTGACTTACCAAAATTAAAGCAAATCATCAGGTGTATAGAAAAAAGAATGATAACCTGACACCCCTTTTCCCTAAATAGGACTCCTCTCTGTCTGTAGTAAACAAATCCAAGGAACTCCAGAGCCTATGCTATCACTTCCAATAACAGACAGCTTAAAGGAAAGTGGTACAGATGTCTTAACCACAGCTTTTCCCAGTGTCCATACAGTGGCGGAGAACTTTCACTGTTGTTGCATGACAAACATTTTTTGTCTAAAAACACTCTTATTGCTAGACCACTTTTAGAAGTGAATATCAGATAATTATAGAATTTTATATATGAATCTTCTGGAAAAGCCACTAGCAGAAGCCCAGGGCCCAAATTGTTTGTAGAAGTCCCCAGACCGTGTGGTAAGAAGGGCAGTGCAAGGTGCATAACCAGACCAGCACTCAGCGTACTGAACACGGGCAAGGGGTGCGCAATGACCCCACAGCTCTCTGAGATGGTAAATTATTCAAAAACTTTTTGTGAAAAATCCAAACAATAGAAAATTAAGAGGACACTGCCATAGAATTGTTATTTTACTCCTTGAATGAAAACTGGGGGAATAAAAGGACAACTTACTTATCGGGCAGAAGGAAGCTGCTAGGAAATCGATACCATTCTTTTCCTACACAGACATTGACAGGTCGGCCTTCTGGGACAGTGTGGATGGCTGGGTCTGTAGCAATTCGGTAAAATTCTGGATACAAGTCAAGGGGCCCATGATATCCTGGAAGGTAGAAAGGTTTGTGAAAGCCAAAGAGGAGTAAGAGGAGACCCTGACATTTAATTATAATGGATGTTAATGTCTCACTGTAATCCATGCGAAATTTAAGAGTGTGAAGGTTCACAGCAACAACTCCAGCAGGAAACCCGCTCTCCTGGTATAAAATGTCTCTATAGTCAGGAAGATGAGTACAGCAGAGGTCCTGTTTTACCTAAAATGATTTTTTTTGTTCCCCTTCTCTATATACTTCCACGTTTTAAACTTCGTGTTCTTTGACACGTTTTAATATTCCAGATCCAAATGATTATAAGAAAAAATACAATCACAGGACTGGCGCTCCAAATTTGCACCCTAAGTTTAAGGCTTCCTTATTTCATCCTTTAAAAGGAAAAGCATTCTTTAAAAGGAAAAAAGTCAACCAGAGAAAAAAATTTATAGTTAATCACACTAAAAGGAATTCTCAATCTCTTCAATCCTAATGTATAGAAGTCACATCCCAGTGTTAATATTAAGTCCACCAGTTTTCCCTTTAGAAAAATCCTCCTTCCAGCTTAAGCTGAATTATACTAAACAATCACACATTAAGCAAAAGCCAAGGTGAGGTGTCTTGACAATACTGGTTAAGACATTCTCAGTCTATCTACCTCTGAACAGGGCCACAGAGCGAGAAAAGGATAAGAGCCCAAACAGGAAGAGTGTTCCTAACGCCAACCAGTTCGAAGTCACAGTATAATGCTCCAGGCGGTATCGCTGAAACACGAAGTGGTAACATTTCTAGAAGAAAAGAAAACCATACTGAAATAAAAAGATATACCTTGCAGGACATATACACAAGACATCATAGTAACACCAAGAGGGAAAAAGCGGCAGAAGAGATTCTATCAAGGGTCTGAGATGTGCAAACTCTTAGTGAGGTACCTACTCCAAATTCTAAGATTAAAGCAGCTCCGCTAAGACTATCTGCAGGTCATCCAGCCAAAGGGCTTCCCAAGGGTGAAATCTCACTGGCTTCATAGAAAAATTGTTTGGATATTTCTCTAGCGCTAATTATTTATTTTTTTCAAAAAGTTAAACAAAAATGCTTCTTGGCAATTTTTTTAAATCAAGTATCTTAATCTATTTTGATATAATAAGTAGTAATCTTTACTTTCCTAGTGGATAAGTTTTTAGTATCAACAAAATGTCACATGACCAAGGAAGAAGAAAAAAGAATTTCTCTCATAGAACATTAGGAAAATGCTGTTCACTACCTGCGAACCTACTTTACAAACTAGGTCAATATTATTACAAATATACATATACATGCATGAATTCTGCAGTCTTTGACTACTATCACCCCATTAGATTTTTTCCCTCCTTCTTTCCCTCCTAGACCAGAACTACTTTTGGAAAGCATTTTGCGATATATAACAAGCACCATAAATATGTTTGAACTCCTTTCATATTTTGGAAAATCTGTCCTAAGGAAACAATCCAAATACCTAAACAAAGACATTTATCCTAGCATTATTTTTAATACAGCAATAAGTGAGCAACCTAAACTCTAATATAAATTGCACTGTATCCAATCATTATATTATATATAGCCAATTCAATGTTATATATTAGATTGCATAATAATGATATATTCGATTCAGAACAACATACTGCTATTAAAATGATGGGTATAGATATGGTAACATAGGGAATGTTGTGATACAATCCTATTAAAAGGGATATAAAGTTATATGTGCACTTAGATTACAACCATAATAAACTTTGATATGTGACAGGCAAAAATCCTGAAAGGTGTTTTGTTAGGGTAGGACTAATTCATAAAGTTGTAAAAGAAAAATTATCTGCAATGAAGTTCAATTTCTTTTATAATTAAAATTACTTAAAACTCTCATCCTAGCACGGATGAGCCTTAAAAACATGCTAAGTGAAAGAAGCCAGTCACAAAAGACCATGTATTTTATGATTCTATTTATATGAAATGTTCAGAATAGCCAAATCCATAGAGACAGAAAGTAGATTAGTGAGTGGTTGCCTAGGGCTGGGGAGATACAGGAAAAGGGGGTGACTACGGCTAAAGGGTACAGGGTTGTTGAGGTGATGAAAATGTTCTAAAAATGACTGTGACGATGGTTACACACATCTGTTAATACACTAAAAACCATTGAATATGTACACTTTAAATGGGTGAATTGTGAATTATATCTCCGTAAATCTGTTAAGGAAAAAACCCTATCACCCTAATTATTTTTGTCTGCTCCTTGCAAATGGTAGTAGAGGTCAAAAAAGAGTCTGAAGCTTCTGAGACCATAAATGCAGAGGAGTCCAAGATTAATTCTGACAGGGATTGACCTGGCCAAGTTTTAAGCCAAGATTACAAAGAGTCGCATATTGCTAACCACCTGATGTTATCCCAAACAGGTGAGTAAATTTTATTCTGATCTTGCAGTTGAAGAGCATATACTATGTTAGCTCTGCTCCGCTGCCACCATTCTGTGGCAGGCCCACACAACGACTTAAAAAATTTCTTTAATATCAATTGGATTCTTGTTGGCAACGGAGACAACTCTCAAATTAACACTGCAAATATGTAATCAGCAAATAAAAGTACAATCAATAGCTAAGCAATCAATACATAGAGATTTAATAATATGAAATGTATCAGGTATAATGTATGAATAAAATACCTAAGGTGAAAGTTTTGTAATTTGCCTAATTTAAGCTTTAGGAACAATTTAAAAAGTGAAACAGAATGAAGCAGATACATATTTCCCTGAAACTCACCTGAAGTGCAGAAAGGGCCACAGCGCCACAGAGACATATAAGTGGATACACAGGGAAAAGAAATCTCTCCTCTTTGTGAGGCTGGATGAAGAAAATTATAAACCAAATATACATTGGCGCCAAAGTAAGCCAATACGGGTGGCCTAAATTCTGAACTGTAAGACAGAAAAATATCCACTTTTCACCATGTTAGAACAAAACAACATACTTAGTTTCAGTGTTCTTGATCTCAAACTAGAAAGTAGGTCCTAGGGCAGCGGTTCTCTACCTTCCTAATGCCGCGACTCCTTAATACAGTTCCTCATGTTGTGGTGACCCCCAACCATAAAATTATTTTCATTGCTACACTATAACTATAATTTTGCTACTGTTATGAATTGTAATGTAAATATCTTTTTGTTTTCCGATGGTCTTAGGCAACCCCTGTGAAAGGGTCGTTCGACCCCCAAAGGGGTCGCGACCCACAAGTTGAGAACCGCTGGATCTCTTGGGAGAGTTAAGGCGTGTATACCTCTTTCTACTGACTCCTTTATTTCATCGGAGCAAGTGTGAATACAAGAGCTGACCCCCTTTGGGGGTCGAACAACCCTTTTACAGGGGTTGCCTTAGACCATTGGAAAACAAAAAGATATTTACATTACGATTCATAACAGTAGCAAAATTACAGTTATAGAGTAGCAACGAAAATAAATTTTATGGTTGGGGGTCACAACAACACGAGGAACTGTATTAAGGGGTTGCTGCATTAGAAAGGTTGAGAACCGCTGATCTAAAGGGAGGCACAATACTGGAGTTGGCTAGATCACAAATGAAAGCCAGGTGAATGAGTAACAGACCTTAATGATTTCTACATTGGATGAAGGAAAAAAAAAGCCTTCTCTCTCTAATGAGTCCTGCCACTAAGATTAAAGGTTCCTGAGATTAACCAAAAGCATAACATAAACTCATTTCTTGGGTTTTAATTCCTATGTTCTGTTTAATACATTAATCTTCTTAGTTATACACCAATCAGTCTGTTCAAATAGCTACAGATGAAAGAAAAGAAAAAGAGCTGGATTCTCAAACCCATCACTGGTTTATCTCAAGCCACAAATGACAGTTTGTTTTGAAGCAAATATAAAAACACTGTTACACGAAGTTTATTAAGTTTTCTCTCCTCTTCTGCAGCAAATACCCCATCCATTCTGAATCCCAAAATTGGAACCAAAATGTACTTAAAGCATGTGAAAAAATGAAAGGAATTTAATGAACACTAAGACCCAAGCACCTGCTGGAAAGTTCCTGTGGTTAGGTACATGAACACCGCGTGCAACCCACAGTGAAAGCATTCCCCTACCATGCTTGTATTAGTGATAATGAGCAGGGCATAGGAATCGCTGGCAAATGGTAGGTCGAGAGCGCCCCCTGGTGTCCATTATGTCTATAATGAGCAAGTTTAGATGAAAAGATCAGGACCGACACAAGATCCGCCTTATTTTAGCAATGTCTAATTAGCGTTCCTAAGTTACCTGTATTTTTGCAGAAATTCTTTAGGGATAAAAACTGTTAAATTGCAACAGCAAGCTTATCTTTTAAACTTTCCACTCTAAGATTTTAGCATAAAATTTTAGGCTATAATTTAGAATTTATGCCTCCTAGGAAGTATTTTAGGTTGGAATTTTCTTAATTAAGTAGAAAATAAATCTATCTTCTACATGTAAGAAATATTTTTCTCTTTTGTATCGTAAATGCTAACAAATACATTTTTAAAATATGGCCTAATTTTTGAAATGTCCTCAATATAATATACAAAATCATAATTACAGCGGCACTACATGATGGAATAAATGGGTATTTTCTTTCCTACTTCTTTATATTTTTCTATTTTTTTCTTTTAAAAAAGTATAGTTCATATTATAAAATACACAAAAAGTATAAAGAAAAACAGAAAGCACTCATTTTCCCACTAAGTGGACATGTATGTATATTAAGTGGACATGTATGTACATTATACATTTTTAAACCAAAATTGGATTCATACTGTAGAGTACAGCTTAATATGCTGCTTTTACGCCTACATCACAAGCATTTCCAAATTTTACACAAGCATGAATTATTTTTGTAGCCAGAAAAATAGTTACTTTTCAAAAAAAGAAAACCTGATCCTTAAGAAATATAAGGAACAGAGGAGTAAGTTATCACCTCAATGGAACAAACAGCTGAACCCAAATGTGGGACACTATACAAGATGAATGACTTGATTTCTTTAGAAATTGTTGGGCAGAAAAAGGTGAGAGTGGGGTACTTCTTAAAAAGCTTAAGAAACACAAACCAAATTCAGTATATGACCCTTATTTAGATCCTGCTTCAAACAAACTAAATGCAAAAAGCTATTTTTTAGACAATGTAGAAAATCTGAATATCACCTAGATATTAGATGATAGTAAGGAATGACTGTTAATTTTGTTAGAATAATGGCATTATGGCTGGTTAAAACAAAAGTCCTCAAACAAAACAAAAGTAACTCTGAAGGCTGCTTTATTATTCTGTTGTTAACTATGGGCGCTAGATATCCAGGGCCATGACAACTTGAGAAAATACTGGCTCTGCAATAATACAGGATCAGGTCAAGCAAAATGAAAGACAAACCAAACCTTCCACAATAAGGCAAACACAGAAGCAAAACGGAACAAAGAAAAACATCATGATTCTTAGGAAATCCGAAGCTTCTCTCACTTCAGTATCCAATTTGGGGGAATCCCCATGTGGTTTATTTTTCAAATATGGGTGGAAGTAATTTCCAAAAGAATGTTTGCCTCTGATACTGGTTATCTTAAGTAATCTACCATGTTAACACACACTTTAAAAAACAGAAGACTCAAATAGGACTATCTTCTGAAATTTTATAAGTGTTTTTGCCTCCCCAGGTAGTTCTGTAATTATACCGACTTCCTCACTTTAAGGGATATAAAGCTCCTCATTGTCAGTTTAACTTGCAATTTTTTTTTTTTGTTAAAATTAGAATTTTTTTTTACTAGTTTCAGGTGAACAAAACAACATAGTGATTAGACATTTATATACCTCACAAAGTAAACTTGCAATTATTAACCAGATCTTCCCAGGGGTCTAAATAATCTACAAATACAGATAAAAATTCAATGAGCTAACTATTTTCATAGAAAAAAAATGAAGAATAAGTAGATTATTTTTCACTTCTAGGTATACATTGTTACTTGCTCTATCCTCCCATAATTCTATCATCCCTTATGCCACTCACCATGAAATCTCTGCAGTAGGTATTCCATAAGAGAAGTCAGTGGTAAGACCAGAAGAGCCAAAGCAAAGACTACATTAAAATTCAGAAATCCATTAATTAAATAGAAATACCACGGTTCTGTGCCTAAGGGAGACAAAGAGATAAGAAATCATTAGTGGATGCATTCCAGTGTTTGACACATAATGTTCTTCACTGGAGTAATGTGTTTTTTTTTGGTTTGTTTTTTTTGGTTTTTTTTTTAAGATTTTTATTGGGTAATTGGGGGGATGGGAACAGTGATGGGGAATTGGGGGAAGGGGAACAGACAAGTTGCTGTCGTTTTGTTCTTCAATCTAGTTGTGGAGGACGCTGCTTCACTGGCCCAAGTTGTCACCATCATTGCGCTCTTCCCTGGTGAGGCAGATCAGTCGCCGGCTTCTGGACGGCCGCTCACTGTGGCTGCTGGCCGCTCACGCTGGCTGCTGGCTACATATAGTAGCCCATGGCAACCCACTGCCACAGGGGCTGCAGCCTACGCCGTCGCCAGCGACTCACGGCAGCCCAGCTCCAGGTTGAGCTGTTGTTCAGCCTCTTAGCTGTAGAGGGCAGTGTCACTGGCCCTCATATGTGGGATCCGAACCGGGGCTCTCTGGCATCCCAAGCGAGTTCTTAACCATCGCGCCACTCGGCCGGCCCTTCACTGGAGTAATGTTAATGACCCAATGACACAAGTTAATGAGGGGCCATGAGCCCACTCTTTCCACGCTCAGTCACACACAAGAAAGCACATGAGTACAAGATGGGAAGAGAATGGGATTGATTGGTCATGATTTAGATAGAAATCAAGTTTCAAATATTAAGCTGTGTTTTCTAAACTGAACACTATATCCAGCCCAAATAGCCACGCCCAAATGGAACTAGTCCTTTTCAGAACCAAATAATTTAAATAGTTTAGTGGCGATACTGTGATTTATAATAAGAAATATGTATTTGGTCTTCATCCCTATTCTTGGTACAGAACTCCTAAAACCCTGAGAAATTCCTAAGTGACCAAGAGTGATAAAGTGTCTTTTGTTATGTTAATTAGGAAACTTTAGGCAAGCCCCAAGGTAACCAAAGGATAGGAACTGGTTGCCAGGGGAACCAACCTTGAGATTGGAAGGTAAAAATTTCAGTCTGACCTCAGGGAAGGGGAGAGGGTCTGGCAATAAAGTTCAATCACCAATGGCCAGTGATTTATTTAATTAACCAAGCTTATGTAATGAAGCTTCCATAAAAACCCAAAAGGACAGAGTTCAGACAGCTTCCAGGTTGGTGAACACACAGTTGTGGGGCGAGTGCCTAGAGAGCACAGGCGCTCCAAGCCCCTTCCCACATACTGGCCCTACGCAGCTCTTCGATCTGCCTATTTACTTGTATCCTTTATAATAGACTGGTCAATGTAAGCACATGTTTCTCAGAGTTCTGTGAGCCGCTCTAGAGAATTAAATGAACCCGAGGAGGGGGCTGTAGGAACTTCCAATCTATAGCTGCCAGAAGCACAGGTGACAACCTGGACTTTCCACTGCCATCTGAAACGGGGGGAGGCAGTCTTGTAGGACTGAGCTATTCAGGCCTTTCTCATTTTCTTGTCACCTGCTCATCCTATTTACATTCTAGCATCTTACCAATCCATGTGCTCAACCACTACTTTAGAGTCATGGATAGAGGAAGACTTGTTTGGTAAATAGCAAAACTTGTCTTTCTTAGGAAAACAATGTTCAGAGACCCAGACCCTGCTCAGAAGTTTTGAAGACTCAGAATGAAACAAAATGACTAAAAACGCAAGCCTTACACTAGCTTTCATTCTGTAACTCAAAAATCCTTAAACCCAAAAGATGAGAAACAGAGCGCGAGAGTGCACACCCCCACCCCACCCCCTGCACATTAGCAGGTTTTTCATCCGCTCTGCCCCCTGTGTGATTACTTCAATCAGGCAGTGAATGACACATGCGGGCTTTAATCACTGTGTGTGTGACACCCACCTTGCACCGCAGCAATTTCCTGCAATCAGCATTGCTTAAAAGGGTAATCAGACGGCAGAGGAACAGTCAGAAAAACCTGACATTTTTGCAGCTTGCACAGCAAAATAAGATTAGAAACCAAACCCATAATACAAGAAGCATTCAGGGGAGGAATAAGAGGGAGGGGGTACCCTAAGGAAGGACTTAAGTTCAATAGTGTGTCACTTTTGGGGAAAGCTCACGCCTTCCTGTCTAAATACAATGACTGAGACTATTCAGGAACAGAGGTCCTGTCCCAGGCCAAATTCATTAGACATTTAGATCTTGATTCTTTGTCAATAAACTTTTGGGTAACAGAAAACTAATGGATGGTTTTATTTTCAAAACAGAAATAGTATGTTTTCTTTGGATTCTAATTAATATTTAACAACACGTTTCCTAAATTGAGTCCTTTCGGAGTCTGGTTTCCAGAGGGGTTAAGTTTTTGCACAGTCCTTTCCTGACTGCCAATGCGGAGGCAGTGCTATCAATAGAAAGGAAAAAAAAAACTTTCTCTTAATCCTTGCAAATACATATTGTTTTTTCAGGGAAGCTATTTAGTTTCCGGCAAATACTGGGGTGCCAAAAAAAACACATACAAGTGGACACTTTGGTCAGTGTTGCTCAAGCAGTAGTTTGCTGTAATCAGAAGTCTGGACGCTGATGGCAACCACTTTGAGCACCTCTTGTAATTGCAGACATCAAACATGACTTGTATTCATCTTTTGTTATCGGTATATATTGAGTATTACAGTTTTAAAACAGTTTTCCTTTCTTAAAATGTGTATACATTTTTGGGCACCCTATGCATTTGCCTGTACCACAACTTACTATTCCTTCATGCTAGGGCTGACTATCTTTTTACCTAGGTAAACCAAACTCTGAGATGTAGAACCAAAGGTATTAACTTGGTAAGCTCAATTATTTTTATGTGCTAACTCCTCATAGACCAAGTACACAGCTAGGCTGTGAACATTTCATAATAGACTGTTACTTCCCTGAAGGATGGGGCAAACACTGGGGGTAAGCCAAGAGTGGGAAAGGTTCAAGTGATGACATTCTTAAAAACAAGGGCAAAAGGGGAATTCTGTTAGCCAGTGTTCTCCCATACTTGATGAGACATCTGCCTTAAAAGAGAAAAGAGTAAAAACTTTTCTCTGCAGGGAGATATTCAAAGCTGCTGCTCAGAAAGTATCAAAGCTGAACTGTGCAGAAAAACTGCTTCGGAACACCAAGCTAAGCACTGAAGTGGTGCAAAAGGTAAGGTGAAAGAAAGCTGGAAGCAGGATCTCTGCAGGGAGTGACTCGCCGACCTCCCTCTTTAGGGAAAGCACCTCATTCAAATGAGTTAAAGCGGGCTTTGAAAGAGGCTAAAAGAAGACGGGAGTTTTACTGTTCCATAGATTGAATGACAGGAACCATTTTATAGGCTTATAATTTTATAGAACTGTAGGAAGTAAATTATAGTAAATCATCCTTATAAATGTCAAATTTGCACCACCAAGAGGGACAAGCCACCAAGGTTCAACAAAAATGATGAACAAAAGAGGGAAGGCTCTAAAACATTTTGACTGGCTGTGAACTCCCAGCAGGCCTCCAAAGGCTCCACTGGGGCTCCATATCTGCTACAGCAAGAAAGGACCACTGTGGGCCTTTTAATAGAGGGCGTTCGCTTTTACCTTCTGCAAGTTCCTGCCCAGTGATCTGACAGATGCTGATAAAACGTATGAACAGGCAGGGATCATATTCTACGCTGCAAAGTAGCATCCTTGAGCAGAGCCACTGTTATTTTAGAAGGAAGAGTGTTTCTCTGACCTGTCCTCCCTCGCCTTCCCTGGGCCTGTGTACTCATCAGAAAGCACCACTCTTCACTCCCTACTCAAAAATACTTAGTAACCTCAACATCTGAGAACTCCAAATGTTACAAGGATAAGAGGAAAACTCAGTGCCAAGACGGTTCTCTTTTTTGCAACACTAAAGTTCACCTCTTCATCTTTGATCCCATAGAGATGTTTGCCTATGACTTTGCAATTTTACGTCTACACTAGTCTGAATACCCTAAATGCCAGGTATTCTTTATCTCATCCAAACATTCTTTTTCTTTGACAAGGGTCTGGCGCAGTGCTCCAGGTGAAGGAGAGCCTGCCAGTGTGCATGTCACTCTGCCACCAAAGCTCTCCGGGGGCTCCTGCTTACCCTGCGAGCACCAGACTTTCAAAGGTGCAGCTTCCCATCCGTTCTATAGATGAGATCTTTTCTTCTACCACCCCTAACTCATGCTCTCTTTGCAAGCTTATTCGCCTATAGACTCTCAATAGCCAAACTCCAGGGTTTTGCTAAGGCTGTTTTCAGAGGAAAGAATACAGCCTTTGGAGACAGAAAACCCTGGGCTCTTATCCCATTTATGCCACTTATTTAACTACGTGGCAAGTCTCTCATCATCTCCACCTCCATTTCCCCATCTGGAAATAATGATAAATAATGCTTACCTCTCAGAGTTTTTCTAAGGGGAAATAGACAGCATATGTAAAATTTCTGGTAGGCATTCAATAAACAGAAGCTATTGTAATTAATAGCTATGAAAAACTTTATTTCTTTCCCCTGGCTTCAAAAGACATCCCAGGTCTGGAATGTGTCATTAATATTGGGTTGTCAGAAAAGTCATGACGTATTTTTACTATGTTTCTTTTTGCAAAAATGCGTCATGACTTTTCCGACAACCCAATATATGCTATCCTGCCAAGAAAGCATAGAAAGGTCCCTTTGAAAACCAGGAACTACAGAGCAAATATTTATATTATTATAATCACAATGGAGAGAGATTATCTTGCTCATATCTGTGTGGCTTCTACCTAAAATTCAGCTAATGCTGTAAAACTACTTCAAGTTTTTCAAGAGCTCAAATCATTTTGTCTCAGCAGTCCCTACACCTGACATTCGACTTGTCGGAAATGCAGCTCCCTCATGTCTACTCAGGGAACTTCTCCTCTTCCTTCAAGGCTCAGCTCAAGGACCAACCCTCTAATAGAAGTCTTTCCTGACCCCACCAGATGGGCTTGCTCCTATGATTCCCTATCTTTCTACTGTAGCATGTAAAACACTGAACTGTAATTTAATCTATTCGTGTGTCTGCAGCCTTATCAGACAGCGAGTTCTATGAGGACACATAATAAATGCTCTAAATCAATTTATTTAATGTTTCCTTAACTCAAATCCATTTATCCATTTATTCAAGAAGTACGTGTAGGCTTATTATGTTCTTATATATAAGAAACAGCATTAAGGCATGTATGCAAAAACTATCAGCACAATGCATTTTTAATTTTCAGATAAACGGTGTGCCTACCACAGCTACTGAAGGACTCAGAGCAGGAGGCTCTTATAAAATAGTCAAAATAGTGCCAAACATTTGTAAGTAAAATAAAGGAGCTGGAGTTTCCATGACAAAAGACAAGCTGTCTCACTGTTGGACAATTGTATGACATCAAAGCATCTATTAAAAGCTAAGTCTTTGATATTTACTGAATGGACTCACTAATTATAATAAAATTAGTTGACAATTGTCAAGTACTTTAGAGCTTAAAAAGTTATTTTCATCTCTATTATTCTGATTTGGTATCAAAAAAACCCCAACCTAGTACACTACAACAGGTCTAACCAAAATAATTCTAGAACATTATAGTGATCAGAGCACTGATGTAATCTGATGGATGCATCAGAATTTGTTCATTCATTCATTCATGACCAATCTTCATTAAAGACTAAAATACTTGTACACCAAGATGGTGCCTACTCTTAAGATAGAACAAGTATTCTCTCTGCAGGCCTGCTAAAGCAAAAAGGAGTTAATACTCTTTATAAAAATGGAAATCAGACACCCACACCCCCACCCCTCAAAAATTGTCAAATTCAAAGATGAGGTAAAAGCACAACAATTTTTCCACCAAGGAACAACCACCTAGGTCAAATATAAGAGTACAGTAACAGATGAAAACTAGACTTTTGATGGTGAGCACACAATAGAGCACACAGGCATCGAATTATAATGCTGTAAACGTGAAATGTGTATAATAGTATTAACCAATGTTACCTCAATAAAAAGAAAGAAAGAAACAACCCCCTAAGTCTGGCTGATTACACCTGCCCTGCATCAGTCCTACTGACACCCAGTATGACAATTCCTACGGTCCCAATAAAGCTTTTTCTATCACTAGGAAAGTGATCAGTTCCTGTACATCCAAAATAACAAAATCTGAACTGAAGCTCTCCCAGGTTCATCAAAGCAGGCAGAATGGAGCCCCAACGACTCTGCCCAGTAACACGTTGGCTGAAATGAAAGACAGAAATTCAGGGAAAGATTGGCCACTGCTCTGCTGGATCACCAAAAGCTACCACAGGGGTCCCTAACCCACCCATTGTCAAACTAGATATATAAACTTAAATCAGAATTTATCGTTTCTTTCCTACTCTCGCTACCAACTTGTTTATTTATAAACCTCATCAATCTAGAGGACTACAAAAAATATGTAACTTTCATATACTCTCACACAGTTTTACAAGTAAGCAGTCAGAATATCAATAAGTAATAACCCATTTAAAAGGTGAAAAGCCAATTTTGGGAGCATGAATATCCATTATGTATGGGGTGAACAGGTTGTGTTAAATTGAGCTTAATTTTGAAAAATTGGCTTTCCACCTTTTAAATGGGTTATTACTTATTGATATTCTGACTGCACATAATGGATATTCATGCTTCCAACAGGTTCCATGTAAATCAATTTCTAATGTGCAATCTGGGTCTAAAAGGAGTCTCCCTTGTCTTGTAGAATCAAATAAAATTTTACAAATAAACTAAAACAAGGAGCAATTAAAAACATGCAAACTCTCCCTAACTAAAGAGAGACATCTAGAGGCAAAAATTGGGGCTTTTTCTCACATCCTTGGGGATCTTGCATCCATAAAGGAGCCTATTAAAATTCCTTCACTTAGCAATTATTCTCTAACCATGCAACTTATGAATTAATTCACTGAACAAAAAAACACTGTTTATTTTAACCTTTTATTTGCCATCTAAAATGACAATATTCCCCAAATTCCAGGAGGCCCAATTAAATTTCATTCATATGCTTACTTTAAATCTCCTCATTCAATCTGTTGGTTCTATTGGCAGAGTGGCACAGAAAAAATGGTGGGCATGGCTTATATTGATAAGAGACACAGGCAGAGAAAATATTAACCTGCTTCATAGCAGAGCCCCCAAACAGTCTCACATATGGAATGCTCTAAGACCTTCAAAAGACTAAGGCAGAAAAAACCCGTTATTTTAATGAAAAACTGCCTCATAAAATGTTTACTGACTTGGATGACCTGTTCAGAAAGATCTCTAGCTCATCCCTCCATAGCCAGCACCAACTCAGATGCCCTCAGGGGCCAAATGGCTGACTGGGAATAAAAAATGGCTGATGAGTGTAAGGCATGTGGGGAGGGGTGGAGATGGAGGTAAACTGGAGAATGCACCCCCAGGCTAAAGGCATCCCTTTTTTTTTTTTTTTGTCTTAACCCTAAACTGGCCAAACTGCTGTGAATGAAAAAAGGGATTCTATGGAAAGTAACCTCATAGGGTGGCCTGGTCATAAATTCCTAACTGGGCAGGTCATGGTGGGTAGTCACGCCCTAGGAATATAACTTCTTTAGTTAAAGGCTTATCTTTGCCTTAAGCAAGCTCTGTCCATTGTTTCTGTGCTTCTAGGTTAACATACCTTTGAAATACCTCTTTTGAGATCTCTTCTAAAGCATGACCACCCTCAAGAGAGCACATAATCTTAACTATTTTGAAATCCAATCCCCAAGTGACCATCCTCAGGAGAGCACAGAATCTTAACCTGTAATCCGATCCCCGCCTTGCTTTCTCCCTCTCATGTAATCTTCCTTATATTCCCTCCTTAATTCCAAATGCATAAAAGCTGCAAAACTGTTATTCTCTGAAGCATTTGAGATCTTGCTTCCTGGGATATATGAGTATAATCAATTTGGCTCAAATAAACTCTTATAAAAATTCTCTACAGGTGGACGTTTGTTATGTCGACAATACCAACCCTATCATTTGCTATGTTTGGTCTTCAGATTTTCCAAACTTTCTCCCCTAATGCCTGATACTAAAGTAATGCAAATTTAAAAAGAAAAAACTCAGGAGCATTTTCTCAATTCCTTGAGGCTTTGCTTCCTGGCAATTGTCGTCAGTTTGGCTCAAATAAACTCTTATAAACTTTAAAAAAAAAAAAAAAAAAAAAAAAGAGGGCCGGCTGAGTGGCGCGTTGGTTAAGAGTTGGCTTGGGACACCAGCTCTGAGCAGCAGGGCCCCGGTTCGGATCCCACATGAGGGCCAGTAACATTGCCCTCTACAGCTAAGATGGTGAGCAGCAGCTCGACATGGAGCTGGGCTGCCATGAGTCGCCGGCAACGGCGTAGGCTGCAGCCCCGGCTGCAGTGGGCTGCCATAAGCTACCGTGTGTGGCCGGCAGCCAGTGTGAGTGGCCAGCAGTCGGTGTGAGCTGCCAAGAGCCACTGTGAGCGGCCATCCAGAGACCAGCGACCCATCTGCCTCACCCGAGAAGAGCGCAATGATAATACCAACATGGGCCAGTAAAGCGACGTCCTCCACAACTAGACTAAAGAACAAAAGGACAGCAACTTGTCTGTTCCCCTTTCCCCAATTTCCCAGCACTGTTTCCCTCCCCCAGTTCCCCAACAAAATCTTAAAAAAAAAAAAAAGAAAGAAAAAACTCCAAAGTGTTAACAAGAGCTACTTGGAGCTTATGGGATTATGAATATTTTTATTTTTCTATTTTTGTTATCATATTGATTTTCTAATGAGAAGAGGAAAAAAGTAACTTTTAGTTAAAAAAGAATAGTATCAAAAGCCATAGCATACCCAATAAAGTCCTCCTTACTCTGAAACTGAGGACAGCAGGACTAACAGAAAGCTAGATCTGAATATCACAAAATCAAGGAGAAATACACATATTTAATGGAAACATATCCTCACTGTACTATATTCAAATGTAATTTATTTTTAAATAAGAAAATTACCAGCAAAGAAATGCTATGTTTGATAAAATGAGGCAATTGAATTAAAATTTCAAAGCTCAGGCAGATTAAGCTGTCTCCCTCCTAACTCTCCCCCAATCTCATAAGGCCTTACCATAAAGATCAGGTCCATGTGATGTGAAGACATTATACAGAACAATGTTGAGTGGTGCAATCACCAACTTCCCATAATAGTAGCTGTCAATGACCACCACAGGCACCTGAAACAGAGCAGGAAATGTATAGCAACTGTAGAGTTTTGCTCTGGAAACATTCTCACAATGCTAACAGGGTAAATTTCAGAATGTAAAACAGAATCAACTCCTAATGTTCTCTTTCCCACATCAGAAGTTGCTTTACACAATAGAATATACAAATGATGTATTATAAAATTGTACACCTGAAACTCACATAAAGTTATTAACCAATGTTACCCCAATAAATTAAATTAAATTAAGAAAAAAGAAGTTGTCTTCATTACACCTTTAGAACAAAACAAGAAAAAGAGAAAACTCACCAGAAAGAGTATTAGAGCCACCAGCGACCAATGAAAGAAACTCTTCCATCTATGTTTCATGACCAGCAAATCAAAGGCAATAGGTAAACTATTTAACAGAGAAATAGAAAGTGCGGAGTTAAATACTTAGAGAGAATATAGACTAAAACAGGTCAGATTCACCAATACCTCATGCCGAACTGAGAATAAAATGTCTCTAGCAGTTATAGTAAGGGAAGAAAGGTGGTACACGAGAGGATGTCTTCTCAAAAATATACTGTTCTATTCACAGGACCCATCGGTGCTATGCACCCCACAATGCACAAGAAATATAAATATCGAGCTTCTAGAATGAGTTCCATTTTACACATTTATATTATATATTATACATATTATGCATAATTGACATTTAAAACATATTAATTATAAGTAAATGTACCCCAGTGTCCCAACCCACCCTGCCAAATGAATAAATACTGATTTCTCCCTTCCATCTATATTAAGATTTTAGTACTATCATTACATACTTGACTTCAATTATGATACATCCTGTTCCAATACCATTTGCACTTCTTCCTTTCACTTAAATTCCTCAAGCAAGTGGCAAGTGACATGTGTGTTGCCTTCACTACTTCTTCAAGGCCTAGCCTCAAGCTATTAAGACTCATCTAAGGTCAACAGGAACCACCCCTCAGCCTGACCCACTATCTCTTCACAAGCCTCATCTCCTTTGTCTTTCTGCTCCACTTGACACAAAGCTCTGTTCCTTTCTCTTTAGACTCCTTAGTCCTATTCTTTTCTCTCTCTTCCCTAGTGCTCCCTAGGCGTGCTTATTTATTTATTTAATTTTATTGGGGAACAGTGTGTTTTTCCAGGACCCATCAGCTCCAAGTCGAGTAGCTGTTTCACTCTAGTGGGGGAGGGTGCAACTCAGTGGCCCATGCGGGGATCAAACAGGCAATCTTGGTGTTATGGGCACTGCGCTCTAACCAACTAAGTTAATGGGCCACCTCTAGGCCTCCTTTCTTTTTTCTATCCCATGGTAGTGCTCCATCATGGTCATATCTCCCCAAAATGATCTTCTCCTTTTCTTTCTCTACACTCATTTTTCTCAATATGTGCTTCCACTCTTGTCGCATGAACAATCACCTTCATATCCATGACTTCCAAATTTAGGATGCTAGTCTGAGCCTTTACCCATGCTCTAATCACAAAGAATTCCCAGGATGGCCAAGTGGCGTGTTGGTTAAGACTTGGCTTGAGATGCCAGCTCTGAGCAGCAGGGCCCCGTTTCGGATCCCACATTAGGGCCAGTGGCACTGCGCCCTCTACAGCTACGATGGTGAACAACAGCTCGACCTGGAGCTGGGCTGCCGTGAGTAGCTGGCAACGGCGTAGGCTGTAGTGGGCTCACTGGCAGCTGGCATGTGCTTTCGTGAGCTACCATGAGCCGCCGTGAGCGAGCAATGGCTAGCAAGCGACTGCCTTACCCAGAAACAGCGCAATCATAATACCAACACGAGCCAGTGAAGCGACGTCCTCCACAACTAGACTAAAGAACAAAAGAACAGCAACTTGTCTGTTCCCCTTCCCTGATTCCCCAACGCTGTTCCCCTCCGCCAATTCCCCAATAAAATCTTAAAAAATAATAATAATAATTCCCTCTCCACACCAATCTATTTACACAGAATCTACCCAAATGTGAACTATAAGCAGGCTCTGCTGCCACCTCCTTCAGAAAATCTCTGCAGAACCAATTTCTCCCATCTCTGAATTTATATGGCACTATCATCTCTATCACCTATTTGGCAATGTCATATGCTGTCACAGGACATCTTTTATTATCTGAATTTCCACATTCTATTACCTAAATTTTGCATTAACATTTTGTGGGGTTTTTCTCCCCAACTAGTTACATTTCCATAGCACCTATATTTCTTCTTTGATAAGGCAGGGTTCTTTGGAAAAGACAATACTGCTGAGAAAAATAGAAGGCAGCAGGCAGAGAGGAAGAGCACATATGAGATGGACTGGCTCCATAATAGCCATAGGCATGCGTCTACAGGAGCTGAGCAGGGCTGTTCAGGCCAGGACATTGTGGACGTCACTCACTCATAGGGTCGCCAGGAGTTAGAGCCAACTCAATAGCACACAAGTCATCATACTTCCAATTACTTGTTCAATGTCGTTTTTTCCTACCAAAATGCAAGCTCCAAAGAATTTCCAAATAACCGTTTTATTTATTACAATATCAGCTGTGCCTAGTATAAAATATTCAATAAATGATGGTAGGTTGCTAAATGACTGTGATCATGCAGTTATTTATCTTGGCTAAAGGCAGACCAATCAAAATGTACTACCCAGGGGTATTTGGGGAACTCACGAAGTTCAATATAGATGAAGTAGAGAGTAAAAGGAATGGGAGGAACTGACAAAAGGAGGCTGAGGGGTTAAAAAAGGAAGAAAGATAAAGGCTTGTGAGTCATGTTAAGAGTTTGGATACCATAAAGCAGGAGTTGGCAAACTTTTTATTTAAAGGACCTGACATTATATATTTTAGGCTTTGCAGGTCACATATGGTTTCTGTTGCATATTCTTCTGGTACGGGTTAACAACCCTTTAAAAAATTCAAAAATTTTAGTTCTTGGTCTATACAAAAATAGGCCAGCTAGACTTGGCCCACAGGCTACAGGTTGCCAACCTCTGTGACATACAGCAATGAGAAAGCTATGATAGAGTTTAAAATAAAACAGGTAGTGATACAATCATATTTGTATTTTAGGAAGGTAACTTTAGTTTAAATGTGGAGAGTAGATTTACAAGGATCAAGACTTGAGATAGTAATGTCACTCAGGAAGCTGAATAGTAATCCAGGAGCAGTGAGAGGTAAAGAAAATTCAAAAGATATTCCGGAGGTATAATAAACTTATAGGACATAGGAAAGAGAAAACTGAGTCGCAGATAATATTCAGGTTCCTGGCTCGGCACAGATGGTGGTACCATTTACTGAGATAAAAACATAGGTAAGGAAACAGATATGGAGGGAAGGGAATGAGTTTAATTTTATAAATGTTTACCTATATAAATGGAGATATCTAATAGGCATCTAGGGATATATAAGTGAAGCTTAAGAGATGGTTGGACTAGACATAAAGACATGGGAATTACCAAGATGGTTAACAGATAGCAGAAAATGTAAGAGAGGGCCTCACACAATATCTTTTTTTTTTAATTTTATTGGGGAATTGGGGGAGGGGAACAGTGTTGGGGAATTGGGGAAGGGAACCAGCCAAGTTGTTGTTCTTCAGTCTTCGCTGTGGAGGGCGCCAGTCAATCTAGCTGCCTTTTGGCAGCTCGTGGCCTCTAAGCTCAAGGTGCTGTGTTCAATCTTAGTTGCGGGTGGGCACAGCCACTATCCCATGTGGGAGTCGAACTGGCAGCCTTGTTGTTAAGAGCGCATGTTCTAGCCACTGAACCATCCAAGCAGCAGCTTGGCTCAAGGTGCCAAGTTCAGTCTTAGTTGCGGGTGGGCATAGCCCACCATCGAACAAGCAATCTTGTTGTTATACCAGCTGAGCCATCCTGACACCTGTTGGCAGCTCAGCGGCAGCTCAGCTCAGGCCGGGTATCAAACCGGCGACCCTGTTGCTCAAAGCTCACACTCTTGAGCAAGCTCTTAACCAACTGAGCCGCTCGGCCAGCCCTTAATATCTTGAAGTATATAATAATTTGAGGATGATATGCAGAATAGAAAAAAAGATTGAGGGTGGGGAAATCAGCCTTTAAAAGGCAATTAAGAAAATTTAGGGGCCGGCCAAGTGGCACGTTGGTTAAGAGCTGACTTGGGATGCCAGAGGGCCCCGGTTTGGATCCCACATATGAGGACCAGTGACACTGCCCTCTACAGCTAAGATTCTGAACAACAGCTCAACCTGGATGAGTCGCAACGACAGTGTAGGCTGCAGCCCCTGCTGCAGTGGGTTGCCATGGGCTACCATGTGTAGCCAGCAGCCAGTGTGAGTGGCCAGCAGCCGCCGTGAGCGGCCATCCAGAAGCCGGCGACTGATCTGCCTCGCCCGGGAAGAGCGCAATGATGGTGCCAACTTGGGCCAGTGAAGCAACATCCTCCACAACTAGACTGAAGAACAAAAGGACAGCAACTTGTCTGTTCTCCTTCCCCCAATTCCCCAATAAAAAAAAATCTTTAAAAAAAAATTTTAAAATGTCTATCTCTGGCTTAGTAACTCCCCTTCTAATAATTTATCATATATAAATTTTCACAAGTATATGAACATATGTACAAAAATATTCACTGAAGCACTGTGTGCAAAAGAAAAAAAAAAGAAAATCAAATGGCCACCAATAAGGCAGTGGCTAAATAAATTATGGGCAGCCATATAACGGAATGCTATGAAACTGATACAAAGAACAATATAAATCTATGTACAATAAAAAATACACATGTATCTTTGAAGGTTGGGTTATGGGAGAAGACAATTAAAAATCCTTTTTACATCATACAATCTGGTACTTTTTTTTTTTAACTGGGGAATTGGAGGAGGGGAACAGTGTTGAGGAATTAGGGAGGGGGACCAGCCAAGTTGTTGTTCTTCAATCTTAGTTGTGGAGGGCGCCAGTCGCCATCTGGCAGCTCGTGGCCTCTAAGCTCAAGGTGCTGTGTTACAATCTTAGTTGCAGGTGGGCGTAGCCACCATCCCATGCAGAAGTTGAACCGGCAGCCTTGTTGTTAAGAGTGCACGCTCTATCCACTGAGCCACCCGGGCAGCAGCTCAGCTCAAAGTGCCAAGTTCAGTCTTAGTTGCACGTGGGCGTAGCCCATGATCGAACAGGCAGTCTTGTTATTAGGAGCACGTGCTCTCACCAGCTGAGCCATCCTGCCACCTATTGGCAGCTCAGCTCAGGCGCAGCGTCACTGGCCTATGTAGGAATTGAGCCAGTGGCGCTATTGCTCAGAACTCGTGCTCTTAAGCTTAACTCTTAACCAGCTGAGCCACTTGGCCGGCCCTGGTACTTTTTTTAAGTAATAAAGATACACTACTACTATAATAACCTTAACATCAAACTAAAATATTTTTCTAAATTACTAGTGGTACAGGGAATAAATTAAGGCAGCACAAACTAGAATAGACGTGGTGGGAACAAGAAGTACAAAACGAATGAGAGACATTATAGAACCTGGAAGAAAAGATGGCAGGGGTAAGAAGGAGACTGAAAGGAAATGCAGATTTCAAGCCTTGGTGACTGGGAAAATGCACAGCACAAGGTGGTGCGGCGTGGAAAAAACATCAGCTATAGAGTCAGAAACGTTTGGATTCAAAAGCAAACAATCTTAAAGGCAAATTACTCAACCTACTGAACTCTACTTTCTCGTTTATAAAGCACTAACAATTATATTTCTCTTGCAGAGTTGTTATAAGGTTTAGGGATAAAGTTTGTTTGTTATGTTAGCAGTATCTAACATACAGATGCTAAATACTAGTCACTATTCTTATTAGAATTAATCAAAACAATAAGCAGTAAGAGAAATATTCTTCCATTTCCCAGTCTTTGTAGGTCCAAATAATTCCTCTAACTTTAGATTCTATCCAGAGAATATGGAGATAACCTAACATTAAGATTTACTATAATGTATGCTCAGTGATACAAATTGTGTTAGTTTCTTACCCAAGAGCCACACTGAATGGCCAGCCTAAGATAGCCCCAGCTGCTACTCCAAGCACAGCAATGGAAGTCTTGTCCATATACCAGCCAGTCATGGCTATCAACGTAGTATACATACAGAAGCTACTAGGAAGGAATGCTGCAAGAGTGAAGAAACAAAAAAAGGGGGACAAGGACAAGAGTTTGAGATTTATTAGGTATCAGTGACTAAAAATTTACCTACATTGCAAAATGTCCATAGCTAGAAACATACTTTGAGCAATGCTATATTAGAAATGGGCAGTAAAGTGATAGTCCTTTAAAAAAAATGAAGTGTGATTATTTTCTCACTCCTGTTTTTTAGGTATCAACACATCACCCAAGTATATAATACCAACCATGATATTTTTCTCCTGGCCTGTACCCCAAATCTAAAACTTATGCAAGTCCAGGTTCCCTGGGTATACATACCCCCAGGTTATACTTCAGGCAAGGAATATGCTTCAGAAAATTTAGAGCCACTGATGACAACCTATTTCTGAAGGAGTCTATTTTCTGATAATCTTCTGAGACTGTCCTGGTAACAACCTGTACCCCACAAGAATTCTCGAAAGGCTTTTCAAGGGCCAAATGTTGGATGGCAGCACTGCTGTGCATCCTGCATTCACTGACATAGGCCATTTTGCCCTTTAGATGTCCCCCTAATTTCCATCTAGTATTACTTTGCTGTTGTATGCAGCAGAGGTTCTCTGCAACAGTGACATTTGATCAAAATGTTTCTACCAACTCTACCCAAAAATACAGATCTGCCTCTCCCTGCTGTATGAGGCCTGCTTCATCCAGCACTAGGGAAGAAAAGTCAGTACCAACTTCAAAAAGAACCACAATGAACAGGCAATATGATTTTAAAAACTCAGCAGAGTTCAGAGGCTCTGTATCAAAGGATGCCTTAAACGTATCTGTGCCTTAACATCCTCAACTGGGATTACAAAACTAGACACTCCCAGGTATCTCCCTCACATAAGAATCAATCTCAGGAGTAGCAAAATAACTAAAATAACATGTGGGGTACAACCTTCACAGATAAATGCTAAACAGTATCAACGCCATCAAAGCTATCCATTCTATTGGGTTGTCAAAAAAGTCATGACACATTTTTGCAACAGATGGCGCTGGTTCATTTTTGGAAGTACCAGAGTCATTCGCATCTATGTCATTTGACAGCTGACAGTTCTAGCTTCATTCTAAAAAAAATTGAATGATTTGGTTGAGTTTTGGAGATTTTACAACAAGTTGAAGATGGAAGACCAAACTGCGCATTTTTGCCATATTTAACTTCCATAAAGGGAAGAATGTGCATCAAGCTTGTGAAAAGTTGCATAAAGTTTACGGTGACAATGCTCTACAAGAACGTCAGTGCCAATGATGGTTCACGAAATTCCGTGCTGGTGATTTTGATCTCAAGGGCGCTCCTCGGTCAGGGAGGCCCACCGAGGTTGATGACGACAAAATAAAGACATTGATCGAGTCAAACCCACGTTACACGACACAAGAGGCTGAAGAAACATTGAACATCCATTATTCAAGCGTTCACAACCACCTGAAGAAGATGGGATACGTAAGCAAGCTCGATATTTGGGTTCCACATGAACTCAAAGTTCATTTGACGGCGCATATAAACATCTGCAGTATGCTCATTAAACTTGAGGAAAACCATCCTTTTTTGAAGCAATTGATAACTAGTGATGAGAAATGGGTTGTTTACAACAATGTGGTGCGCAAACGGTCTTGGTGTCAACATGATGATTTGCCTCAAACAACATCGAAAGCAGACATTCATCAGAGGAAGGTTATGCTCTCAGTGTGGTGGGATTTTAAGGGTGTCGTGTTTTTCAAGCTCCTACCAAGGAACCAAACAATCAATTCGAATGTGTACTGTCAGTAATTGGACAGTTTTAATGAATCCATCATCCAGAAATGTCCAGAGCTTGTTAATTGTAAAGGAGCCGTGTTCCATCGCGACAACACGAAACCACATACAAGTTTGATCACCCGTAAAAAATTATTGGAGCTTGGATGGGATGTGTTGCCACACCCACCATACTCGCCTAACCTTCACCGTCAGACTTCCACTTGTTTTGCTCTCTTAAAAACTCCTTGCGTGGTATAACGTTCAATTCAGATGAGGCTGCAAACCAGCACCTTGTTCAGTTCTTCGAAAATAAAGACAGTTCTTCTATGAACGAGGAATTATGAAGCTCACTAAAAGATGGCAAAAGGCTATCGAACAAAATGGGCAATATATCACTGATTGATCTTTGTTCTTTATATAAATAAATGACCTTTGAAAAACATAGACAAAATACGTCATGATTTTTCCGAAGACCCAATACAATAACGTAAGAGAAAACAACCTGATGAAAATAACAGCTCTACTACTTATGCATTCTTTGATTTTCAGTAAATCATTTCACCTTTCTAAGTTTCAGTGTCCTCACCAGCAAAAATGAGAAAATATTTATCTTACTTAGTTCCACAGGATTGTTGTAAAGGTCAATCAAGATCATGCAGATAACAGTGGTCTGCAAATTACTGACATGTTAAACAAATATAACCTGTATCTGAACAAGTTCTTTCAGTGCAACTATGAAATATCAGTGAACCTGTATGGCCTCACCTGCTCTCTTACTTACCTGATGATGAGCAAAACATGCCAGTGCTGAGAACCAAGAAGGCTAGCATCATTCGACTCACATGCAGCCCAAACTTCTTGCACACAGCCCTAGGAGAAAGGCAGACTATCAGCATAGCAAATCTTAGGGATGGAAATTTCAAATTAAAGGACGAAAACATACCTACATCACAGAGAACCCTGAAGATGTAAACTCAAATACAAGTGTCTCGACAGGTGTATTAGCAATTTTCATGTGCATAAAAATCCCAAATGTTCTTATTCCTCACACAGGAGAGAAGCTGTCTCCCTAAGAGGAAATGTATACTTCCCATGCTAAAAGTATGTCCACTATCAATAGGAAACAGCATGATGTTGTGGAAAAATAATAGGCCTCAGACCCAGATGGGCACAGGTTCAAATTCGGGGTCTGCCAATTACTAGCAGTGGCAGTGACCTAATGTCTAGTGACATAATCACTGTCAGATTCTTCATCTGTAAAAGGAGACTAATAATACCTACTTTGTAAGGTTTCTGTGAGGACAATGCATGGCAAAATGCTTAGAAGAATGTCTGGCACAGAGTTGCTCAATAAATGGTAGTTACCAGAAAAAAACATTAAGAGATACACCAAAGTATTAATAAGTGCTTATCTAAGTCAGTGTTTCTGAAACTTAAGCAATTATACACTTCCTCTTCTTTCTTGTAGGTATTTTTTAAATATTATAAGAGATTATTATTGCTTCATTCAGTCAATATTTGTTCAGACATACCCATGTGTTAACTATTTTCTTGCTCAGTCTCCTTATTGCATCTCAGAGCTTCTTTCTGAAATAATTTTGCTTCTTCCTAATTATATCCTTTAGATGTTCCTTTAGTGAAGCTCTATTAATGGTAAACACTCTGTTTTTTGTTTGGTTTCTTTTTCTTTCATTTTTTCTTTGTCTAAAAGGTCTTTATTTAGATCTTGGTCTTAAAACATGGTTTAATTGAGTATATAATTTTAGGATGACAATCATTTTCTCTCAACACTTTGAAGATATTACTTTTTTTGTCTTCTGGCTTTTGAAAAGGCTTCTGTCAGTCTAACTGCTTAACATTCCTTTCTAGGTATTCTATTAGTTCTCTGTCAACTTTTAAGATCTTCTTCTTTGTCCTTGGGGTTAAACAGTTTCACTAATTCCTTTTTAATTTCCAGATCAGGATATGTTAGGCCTCCTGAATATGTGTATTAGCATCTTTTTTTCATCAATTCTGGAAAATTCTTGATGATTACTTTCTTAAATACCTCTCCTCATTCTTCCCAACTTCTCCTAAATCTGATTAGATATATTTCAGATCTTTTAACTCTACCATACAGTATCAGTGGACATATAGGTTGTTTCCAATCTTGGCTATTATGAATAGTGCTGCAATGAATACTCTTTTTTCCTAACCTCTTTTATATTTCCTTTTGTTGACACTCTGTACTTCATTCTTAGTAATTTCTTCAGATCTTCTATTGGGTTGTCGGAAAAGTCATGACGCATTTTTGCAAGAAAAAATATGTCATGACTTTTCCGACAACCTAATAGTTTACTTGTTAGCAATATCTAGTCATCTGTTTAAACTATCCACTGAATTTTAAACATCAATTATTATTTTTTCATTTCTAGTAGCTCTATAAGGTTCTTTTAAAAATATGCCTGGTCATTTTTGTATTCTCAGTTCTTTTCTTTTTTTAACTTTTTTATTTTATTGTGGTAAGAACACAATATAAGATCTTACCCTCTTAACAGATTTTTTTTTTTTTTAGTTGGGGAATTGGGGAGGGGGTCCAGCCAAGTTATTGTTCTTCAATCTTAGTTGTGGAGGTCATCAGTCGCCATCTGGCTGCCCGTCAGTAGCTTGTAGCCTCTAAGCTCAAGGTGCTGTGTTACAATCTTAATTGCAGGTGGGCGTAGCCACCATCCCATGCGGGAGTCGAACAGGCAGCCTCATTGTTAAGAGCACATACTTTATCCACTGAGCCATCCAGGTGGCAGCTCAGCTCAAGGTGCCAAGTTCAGTCTTAGTTGCAGGCGGGCGTAGCCCACCATGGAACAGGCAGTCTTGTTGTTAGGAGCACATGCTCTCACCAGCTGAGCCATCCTGCCACCTGTTGGCAGCTCAGCGGCAGCTCAGTGGCAGCTCAGCTCTGGTGCAGTGTCACTGGCCCATGTGGGAATTGAACCGGCGGTGCTATTGCTCAGAGCTCGAGCTCGCGCTCTTAAGCTAACTCTTTTTTTTTTAAGATTTTTATTGGGGAATTTGGGGATGGGAACAGTGCTGGGGAATTGGGGGAAGGGGAACAGACAAGTTGCTGTCGTTTTGTTCTTCAGTCTAGTTGTGGAGGACGTTGTTTCACTGGCCCAAGTTGGCACCATCATTGCGCTCTTCCCAGGTGAGGCAGATCAGTTGCCCTCTTCTGGACGGCCGCTCACCGCGGCTGCTGGCTGCTCACGCTGGCTGCTAGCTACACACGGTAGCCCATGGCAACCCACTGCAGCAGGGGCTGCAGCCTACGCCGTCGTGGGCGACTCATGGCAGCCCAGCTCCAGGTTGAGCTGTCGTTCAGCATCTTAGCTGTGGAGGGCAGTGTCACTGGCCCTCATATGTGGGATCCGAACCGGGGCCCTCTGGCGTCCCAAGCCAGCTCTTAACCAACTGAGCCACTTGGCAGGCCACTAACAGATTTTTAAGTGTAAAATACAGTATTATCTATAGGCATAATGTTCTACAGATCTCTAGAACTAATTCATACTGCATAACTGAAATTGTATATATTCATTGATTAGCAATTTCCCATTTCCCCTTCTTTCCAACTCCTGGAAACCACAATTCTATTCTTTTGCTTCCATAAATTTGACTATTTTAGATACCTCATATAAGTGGAATCATGCAGTATTTGTCCTTCTGTGACTCGTTATTTCACTTAGCATAATGTCCTCAAGGTTCATCCATGTTGTCACATATTGCAGGATTTCCTTCTTTTTTAAAACTGAATAATATTTACATTCCATATGTATATATCACATTTTTTCCCCATTCATCTGTCAATGGACATTTATGTTGTTTCCAATCTTGGCTCTTGTGAATACTGCTGCAATGAACATGGAGTGCAGATATCTCTTCAAGATTCTGATTTCAATTCTTTCAGATAAATACCCAGAAGTGCGATTGCTGGATTACTGGTAGTTCTAGTTTTAATTTTTTAAGGAACCTCATCCTGTTTTCCATAGTGGCTGCACCATTTTGCATTCTCACAAACTGTGCACAAGGATTCCAATTTCTCCACATCCTCGCCAATATTTGATGTATTTGTTTTTTGGGGTTTTTTTGGACAATAGCCATTTTAACAGGTATGAAGGTGCCCTTGCATTTCCCTGATGATTAGTGACAGTGACTACCTGTTGACTATTTGCATGTCTTCTTTGGAGAAATGTTTATTTGAGTTCTTAGTTCATTTTATAATCAGATTTTTAGTTTTTTTTGCTATTGAGTTGTAGGAGTCCCTTATATATTTTGGACATGAACTTATCAGATACATGGTTTGCAATTATTTTCTCCTACTTTTTAAGTTCCTTTTCACTCTATTGATTGTTTAGTCTCTCATTTCTTATTTATGCTTTCAATTCTGTCTTTTATTTCTTTAAAAATCTTAAATATACTTATTTTACATTCTTATTTTGATAATTCCTAATAAAGTTTTGAGGGTCAGCTTTCCATGGATTGTACTATTTGCTGGCTCTCACTCATAATGTCTTGTTTACTTCTGCGTTTTGTAATTTATTTTTACTATAATTTCTTGTTCACTAGAACTTTATGTATGGTAATTCTTTGACACATGAGTTAAGGATTCACTTTTCTAAAGAAATTTTACATTTCTTTTTGCAAGCTGCCTGGGGGCACTACCAACCCAGAACAATTTAAAATAAATTCTCAATTTGGGGTTTAAGGGGACCATGTGGGTGATTTGAATTCAGTCCTGAACACATATGAAGGCCAGCTTATGATTATAATCCTCAAAGGCAGCATTGGCTTTTTTTTTTTTTTTTTTTAAACCAGGGAGCCTTTATTGACTGACTAGTTGGAGTGCACTGACTCTTTTTTTCCTCCTCCATTCTACCCAGAGTCAAAGCCAAAAATTTTTTCATCTGACATTTTTAGTTGTTTTGCAGTGGGAAGATTTTTAATAATGATCATTAGTCCAAATAACTTTTAACACACTTTAAAAACAATATGTTTGTTAGGTTCTACTAAATCCTACCAAATAAAAGACCAGTTAGATACATATTAACAGAATTAAAATAATAACATGAAGAAACAGTATTTATGAACCTCAGGAAATAAAGTGATATACCTCTCCAAAAGTTTGTTTCAAACAAGAAATCACATTTTAGATATAATTTTAGGAGCTAGAAGGAAAGTGTTTTCTATATTTAAACACTGCTAATACTATCAGAGAAATAATTTATGCTGTATTGGGCTTCCTCATAGCACTTTTAGAAGCAAGGCTTTTATACTCACTTGTAAAAGTAAAGTTCACAAATGCAGCTCACAAAAGCCAGAAGACATCGTAAAAAGTAAAAGACAAGAATCTGAAAGAAACCCAGAAGAGGAAAACATAAGTCACAGGCAAAAGTTAGCAAAACTCTTAAAGATGAAACTACTCTCATTAGTAACACTATAAATTGGCATAATCCTTATGAAAAGCAATATGTATCAAGAAATATGCAAATTTTCATATCCCTAAATTGAGTATATTTACTTCTATGATTCCAGCTCACAGAAGTAACTATGTGAGTAAATATGTACATAAATATGGGCAGGGGGTTCTATTCACGAAAATGTTAACTGTAGCACTATTAATTTAGAAAAACTTTTTTAAAAACTACAGAATATCCAATTTTAGGGAAACGGTTAAATAAATTATGCTATATTTAGTTCATGGACTATTATACAAATACTAAAATTTATGGTTACTAAAACAGTGGAAACATTCTTATAATATTAAAGCTTATTCATTCAACAAGCATTTCTTAAGACAATTATAATTGTGTAGATGGAGATGTGAACAAAACCAACT